CATTTTTCCTTTCCCTTCTTTCCTTTCCACTGCCCCTCCCACTACCCTTACCCCTTTGGACCTTTCTTCCTCTATTGCATTATCGATTATTCATTCTAATCATTGGTACCTTTTAGGTATACAATATAATGACATTCATCATTGGAATCTAAACACTGTTAGGGAAAGCATTTACCACACCCCCAAGAAATTAGTTTCTTTTTTAAAAAATTAAATGGTTTGGGGCCAGGGGCTCAGTGGTTTCGCCACCTGCTGCGGAAGCGTAAGGACCTGAGTTCGATCTCCAGTACCAAAAAAAAAAAAATAAAATGGTTTGAAAATCGTGCCAGTAGTAAGGCTGTGAATTTAGAATTTTTGAGACTTGGTGGTGGGAGGGAATGCCAACAGTTGAATTAAGCCACTAGAAGAAAGCGTGTGTCTAAACATTTCTGTGACCTTTCCTAATTCCATTCTGTTGGAGATAAGGAATTTACTTGTATGCAAAGCAGTGGTGCGCTTCACCTACTCTGTCCCCCTCCTAGCCGCCACATAGAAGCTCTATAAAAAGCTCTGGGCTGGGGATTTAGCTCAGTGGTTCTGCTGCCTGCCTCGAAAGCGCAAGGTCCCAAGTTTGATCCCCGGTACCAAAAGAAAAAAAAAGCTCTGACTTCTCGAGTTGTCAAAGCCATCTCCCCACCTCAGTACAAGGAGACAAGCCGTGGCCACAGGACATGTCTACATGAGAAATCAGTGCTAAAAGGCAGCTGAGGTGGAATCAGCCAAAGCAGGGATTTCCTCCTAGAAGAGCCTATAAATTCCTGTACCCAATAGCTGCTTTAGAACTAGTATTTTAGCAACTTTATGGTAATTTTGCCCTAAGATATACTTACTTTGTACACTTCATATGCTTAACCTTGCCAGAGTTTTAAATCTTTCTTCTACCCATAGGCATGTTTGGTCTTCTCTTCTTGCCAAAGCACTTAGATACAAGACAAACACAAGCCATCATGTTTACAGAATCAGTTTTTATTTCACATAGGCTCTTTTATGTTCTGACCTACAGTTAATCATGTTCTGACCTACAGTTAATCATCGTGCAGTATAAAATATGCTACTGGAAGTGGTGACAGTTGTTGCTTGAGGAGGCTGGCTAATGAGGGTAGAACTCATCCCCTTTCAGTATAGACTTATATGCACATGTGCCTTTTGAGCTGGCTGCTTTTATAAATTGACTTTATTCCACACCTACATACACAAAGACTCAATGAAGTATTTGAACTTTTGTTTTTTCACAGCCATCTCTTCCTGTACTCTATACCCTGTCTAGCCAGGCTACACATGAAGCTGTTCATCTCCTCTGCAGGATGTTGGTCTTTGATCCAGTAAGTAGTGTTTGTTTTATATTTCTAAAAATAATTAATTAAAAATACACATATTCTAAGGGAAACATTCTACTTTTTTGTTTTTTGTTTTTTGGGGTTTTTTTGGTACCGGAGATCAAACTCAGGTCCTTGCACTTGTGCAGCAGGCGGCAAAACCACTGAGCTAAATCCCCGGCCCAAACATTCTACTTTTAATAGATTGGCAATGTAAATGATGATGTTTCAAGTCATAAACTTCATTCTGCAGGGTTTTTTTGGGGGGGGGGTGGTACCAGGGATCAAATTCAGGACCTTGTGCTTGCTAGGCAGATGCAGCACCACTGAGCTACATCCCTGGCCCTCCCCTGTTTTAATATTACTCATGCTTACTCATATGATCAATGTTTAAGACTCTTAAGTCAAGGGGGATAAGGGAGATACAGAACTGTACCACTCTTTTTACTTTTTTTTTTTTTTTTGAGACAGGCTCTCTCTATGTAGTACAAGTTGGCCTTGAACTCACTGTGTAGCCCAGGCTGGCCTCGGAACTCATAGCAGTCCTCCTGCCTGAGCCTCCTGAGTGCTGGGATCACAGATGTGTGCCACTATGCTTGGCAAAAACTATGCCTTTCTCCCCCACCCTCCATATTAGAAATCGAACTCAGGACCTTGTGCTTGCCAGGCAGGCACTGAGCTAAATCTCTGGCCGTGCCATTCTTATCTCAGTATTTGTAAAGGGAGTTTAACACCAATTTGAATTAGGAGGAAAATTTTTCAAGATTATTTGAAAAACTTCCCATTGTTTTTGCATAAGGAAGTGTTTATTTTTGGATTCTTTGGGGAATGGCTGGGGTTGCTACCTTTTCTGTTGAGCATAATCACAGCACAGTGGAAGGCTGAGTCAGAGAATTCCAAGTTCAACCCCAGCCTGGGCCCTTTAGTGACTTAGCCAAGCCCTGTCTTAAAAGAGTGGAGTTTGTAACTTGGTGCAAAGGCTCTGAGTTCAATCCCCAGTACCACCAAAAAAAAAAGATTGTAGCTTTTCTATATTCCCTTTCTAGACTTGACTCTTCTGTTAAATAATACGAATTACACCATAACTTCAACTCTTCATTTATTCATTCATCCAAAGATTATTATTCATATTTATACCAATAATTATTGAAAGGGAGACTCAAAAATGGTATCACTTAAAAAAGAAAATGTTACTTGAAATAACTCAGAGAATTCACAGAATATAAAAAAACACAATAGGTATTTAAAGGAGTAAAAACACCACAAAATTATCAAAGTTACTAAGATTCCATCAATCTGTTTGTGATGAGAAAAGAGCAGATTTCTCACATGAGTAATCTAATCCACAAAGATCATAATTCAGGCATCAGTATAATGAAATTAAAGATAAAAAATGTTCTGTTTGAGGTACAAGTTTGTGAGAACTTAGTCAAGGTTTTATTTGGGAAATCAGAAACAGTCAAAGTAACTTGTGTTAATGTTGTAACATCTCAGTACAGAGTGGACTTTTGTTTTGTAATACTGGAAGTTGAATCCAGAACCTCACAAATGCTAGGCAAGTTCTCTACTGCTGAGCTACACCCCCAGCCCTTTTTATTTTTTTATTTGTGACAAGGTCTTGCTAAGTTGTCCAGGCTGGCCTCAAACTTGGGATCCTCCTGGGCCAGGGATTTAGCTCTCTGGTGCCGTGCCTGCCTTGCAAGCACAAGGTCATGAGTTCTGTCCCCGGTACCAAGTGGAGGGGGGACCCTCCTGCCTCAGCCTTCCTAGTAGCTAGGACCACAGGCATGCACCACTGTGACAGGCTATTTTGTTTCCTTTTTTACTGTGATATGCCATGTACATAGTGATATTAGAAACAAGGCGAAGTGGCAGCTCTTGCTTCCAAGGTCTCCTTAAGGTCAAGTTCTCATCATTAAGGACAATTTTGGTCACATAATTTGCATAATGAGCTATTTGATTTAGTATCATTAGTTTGATATTTTGTTTTATTTTGCCACTTTATCTACAAAGATAGCAATACATAAAGAACCTCCCTTTATATGATTATTAAAACTAGAGCTGCATGAAATTCATGCTTCCAAGGTAATTTCTGTCTGTCCATAGAGGATTTTGTAAAGGCCCTAGGTTTAAATTTTGCGTCTATGTGTTAGAAATATTTTATTTTTTATGTTAGTTCTATTTAGATTAGGAACCAAGAAGCATATCAATAAAAAAAAAAAAAAAGAAAGAAGAAAAATAAATAAATAAATAATAAAAAAAATAAAAAAGAAACATATCAGTCACCTGTACCAGGTTTGCCTTTAATGCTTGTTGCCCTTGTTTTTGTTGTTGTTGTTGTTACCAGGGATCAAACTCAGGTCCTTGCACTTGCGCAGCAGGCGGTGAAACCACTGAGCTAAATCTCCAGCCATTGTTGCCCCCCTTGTCGTTGTTGTTGTTGCTATTGCTGTTGTTGTTGTTGTACTGGGACTTGAACTCAGGGCCTCCCCAGCCCTTTCATTAATTTTTTTCTTTTTTAATTTGGAGACAGAGTCTCATGAAATTGCCCCATCTAGGCTCGAACTTGTGATCCTCCTGCCTCAACCTCCTAGAGTTTGGGGATTACAGATGTGCACCACCATGCCTGGCTTACTTAAAATATTTTATATTTGTAAAATGGGGAATTTTATGAACTTTTGCTTAAAAGTTAATAAAGCAACAAAAGCTAGGATAGAAACAGGTGTCCATGTCTATTACAAATGTTGGTCGTTTGAAACAACATAGCACAATATGTAATTGAGATTTTTTTAAAGTATACAATTGGGTCCTACAAAAGAACACCATTGTTAAATCTGAGTAATTTTGTGGTTTTCTCGATTTAGCAAGATAGTTTCTTTTCAATGTTCATATTCTTTGTGAAACAACAATCTCCTTTCCTTAGCCTTACTTGACAAGTTCTAAAAAAAACCATTAATTTGTTTAGAGAAATGAAGTTGATCTTTGCATACCAGGGAGTTGATTTACTTGGTGTCCAAAAGTTTCTCTTAGGTAAAGAAGAACTCTCCTGGGCCAGGGATTTAGCTCAGTGGTCCCGCCCGCCTGCCTTGCAAGCACAAGGCTCCAAGTTTGATCCCTGGTACCAAAAAAAAAGAACTCTCCTTGGTGTGCACAGAGGATGCTATCAGTAGTTGGAGAAACACCTAAATCTTTTCATCTCTGCATTCTCAAATTTCAGGAAGTATCCAAATGTGAGGCAGAAGAGTCTAACAGAGGAACCAGATTCCAGCTGACTGGGACCCAGTGTCTGCCCTCTGCCACCTGACAGGAATGGCTTGTCAGATGATAACATTAAACCTAGCTTCAATGACTGCTGCCCTGTATGAACAGTTGTCAGGCTCAGTCACAGAGTTAGTGTACAAAATCCACGGAGCTCAGAGACTGACCAGAGGCTCCAGGAGAGGGGAGCCGAAGGCCAGAGGGCTCGGAACTGGGCACAGTGCTCTGTCAGCCTACTTGTGCCTTTCAGTTCAAACAGTAGACCTCTAGCCCAGTGGACTATCTAGGAATAATTGTTAAAGATTTGGACTTTTTAGAAAAAAGAAAAAGTTTACTTGCTAAGAACAGGAGGAGGTCTGACTACAGATAGGCCAGAGCACCAGATACACAGGTAGCAAAAAGAAAAACACCAGGTCATCAAGTTCATATCTGTCTGTTCATGTTATTCAAACAGCAGGTTTCTTTTGCATTTATCTTATCTTGAAGGTGGTGACATGCCATTGGGCATATCAACATAGCAAAAACTCAGATAAAAGAGTTGGGAGGAGTCCAGGGTTATGGAAAATGTCTCACATCTTATTGTTTGGGGGACCAAAACCAGTCAGAATTGATCTAGTTTCTTTTTTTATTTATTTCAGTACAGAACGGTTTTCTTTTTAAAATTGTGTTCTCTGAAGTGAGTGATTGTCCTGGGGCAGGGCAGTATTGGGTTTTGTTCTCTCAACCATTAGTTCCATCCTTAAATCTTGTAAAACTCTGCATTCTCCGTAAATACTGCACTGAGCAGGGACCATTTTTTTCTTTCATTCTTTAATGAAGTAATGAGTTTACAAGTTTGGCTTAGTAAGCCTGAAACTAGTGTATTAAGTATTCTGATGTAAAATGGCAGAAAAACCAGAGTAGGCCACTCCTGTTACTCATCCAGAGCTGTCTCTCCCAGTGTGGCATCAGACCATTGGCTGCTGCCTAACTCTTTACAACTTTTAGATGTGTGTTTGTTCTGGTCTATTCAGTATTTGAAGAGAGTAAAAATTTCAAGCAGCTTTGTAAAACTGCCAACATGATCACATCTTGTCTAAATGCTGTCTATATCTTAAATGTAAACTTACAAAAAAAAAGGTTATGCTGGAATTCATCTGGGCCGGGGATTTACTCAGTGGTTCTGGCGCCTGACTCGCCAAAGCGCAAGGCCCTGAGTTCAATCCCCGGTACCCAAAAAAAAAAAGTTATACTAAAGTGTAAACTTACCCCATTTAAAGCATTACTCATTTAAGTGTCATGATATTTGTCTTTTTTTTCTTCTTCTTCTTCTTTTTTGAGGGGGTCATTTTTTGGGTTGATTGGGGGTTTTTGGTTTTTTGTTTGTTTTTTAAGACACGGTCTCACTGTGTAGTTCAGGCTGGCCTTGAACTCACTGTGTAGCCCAGGGTGCCCCCAAACTTCCAGCAATCCTCCTGCCTCAGCCTCCCAAGTGCTGGGATTACAAGTGTGTACCACCACACTCACTCAGCTATATTGTCATTTTTTTGCCCTGTATACTTTTCAAATTTTTACCAGAAAAACACTTCTCAGTGCTTTGTGGTGGTAGATGATAACAGTTGATTGTCCTAAGTCATATACTCCCTCCACTACTATGTCCACCACCTCCTATGTCTCTAAACTCAGTTATCTCTCTGCACAGAATGTTCTGTATATTAAGTGTAAGCTATGTAAAGTAGTAACTGTGTCTTGTGAAAGATCCTATGTGGATAATCATGTTTATCTTTAGTGTTGATGTGCTGGTCTCTAAATTTGATTGCAGTCGAAAAGAATATCCGCTAAGGATGCCTTAGCCCACCCCTACCTAGATGAAGGGCGACTAAGATATCACACATGTATGTGTAAATGTTGCTTTTCCACCTCTACTGGAAGAGTCTATACCAGTGACTTTGAGCCCGTCACCAATCCCAAATTTGATGACACTTTTGAGAAGAACCTCAGTTCTGTTCGACAGGTTAAAGGTGAGTGCCTTTTTGGCCTTTGTCCAGGAAAGATGACTAGTAACATTTTTCATTGTATGGCCAGAAATCCAGGGTCTGGATGCTGACCAAAGTTCCTCCATGTTTCTTTTACAACCTTGCATATAGCTGTTTGTCCAGGGAATATATGCCAAGAAAGCTATGTGTTACAAAAATGCTGATTTAATATTACATCCAGGGGAAGGTAAGCCAGAGGAATAAATATTTTGTTCCTATTTTCAAAGTTTAATGAATGTACTTCAGATATATTAAATTTGTATTCATTCAATGTCATTTCATTAAGTGAAACATGTTGGAAGTTTTTAAAAAGATAAAAATTCACAAGGAAATCATTCTTTAAATGTGACAAGAGAGGGGAATTTCTGATAATTTACTCATAAAATTACATGGCATGATCTTTTATTGGGGTGGGAGTAATGACATTCAGAATTCTGAATGATTTTAGTGTTTCCTTTAGGACACTTTAGAAGAAAGGGTAGGACCCAAAATACCAGCTCAAGCTATATGTAACTAAACACCAAATGAGGTTCTTAAATCAAACAGGCAATAAGTACCAATATTTAGAAGAATTTATCCAGAGTGCCAGCTATGTGAAGTCTCAAATCCGTGGACCATTTTACTCTTCGCACGGATGGAGTTTCCAGTCTGTGTAATGCCACCTTGGAGTTTTTACCAGTGTTCAGCAACAACTGTCATTTTAGTTTCAGGAAAGTTCAGCTGGATTCTGCTTTTTAGATGATGTATGTGTCTGATTTAACTAAACCAGTAGGAAATTGTTCAAATGCTCCCAGGCCTGCAGATTGTCAGTGGATTGTATGATGTTTATTCTCTCCACAGAAATTATTCACCAGTTCATTTTGGAACAGCAGAAAGGAAACAGAGTGCCTCTCTGCATCAACCCTCAGTCTGCTGCTTTTAAGAGCTTTATTAGGTAATTATATACATATATATATATATTATGCGAATGCTATTAGAATTAAAAATTTGTCATGACTGTGTTTTTCAACATATTTCTGTTTTCATTGAGATAACATAAATAAAAGGTCCAACAGAAAGTTTCTGTTACAAACTTTGGCCTCGGTCAAAAGTAGATTTAAAAAGCAAGCATCTTTTTTGTAACTCTGGTGACCGTTCACTGTGTTTTTTCCCTGAGGACCGTTTGCTGCCTGTGACCACATGCACGGTGGTCCTGCTGCGAGAGCAGTATGCAGGACGCCTCCCCATCGCTGAAGTCAGATATGGTCATCTTGGTCCCACTACAATCCCACACCCCTTCATAACTGCAAATAAGAAAATTATTATTTCAAGTTGACTGCTAGTGCGGCCTGTTTAAGAGAAGCCAGCCAGACATGGTGGTACAGGTCTCTAACCCCAACACTCTGGGAGACTGAGGCTAGAGGATTGCAAGTTTGAGACCAGCCTGGGCATCTTTGGGAGAACTTGTCTCAAAATTTTGAAAAATTTTTAAAAGAGTCTGGGAATATAGCTCAGTGCAAAATCCCTAGGTTCAGTCCCCAGGATTACAACAACAAAATCTAAGAGGGTTATGGAAGAGCTATGAACTTACTTGGAACTGTTTGTCATGTTCTTGTCTCCTTTTGACCTTTCCTTCTCATGAGTTTTTCCCCTAACTCCTTATATCATCAGAATCCAATCAGAAGAAAGAAACTGCACCAATAACATGAATGGAGAAAATTTTAAAAGAATTCTTAACTAGAAAAAGATGGTTAACTACTAAAAGCCTTAAAAGAGGGTTCTGAAGGGTCCTAGATAGCAAATGCAGAAAGCAGCTACTCTCTGTAATACATTAGCTCAGAAGAGGCGAACACACACCATGACAGTGGTGAAATGTACCAAAAGGTGTGAACACTGGCACATGTGATGGCACACACCTGCAATCTGAGCACTTGTGAGAGGTTGAGGCAGGAGGATCACAAGTGTAAGTCCCACCTGGGCAACATAGTGAGACCCTGTCACAAAATAAATTTTAAAAGGGCTGGGGATGTAGCTCAGTGTAGAGCTTCCATGGTATTGATCCCTGGTTCCACACCAAAAAAAGGGGAGGGAGTAGACAGAACAAGCCCATCAAAGAAGCCTTCTGAATACAGAGAAACTTGCCAGAAAATTTGAGTATAAATATCCACCAGAAGTAGCTGGAAGGGAAGGTGCTCTCTGATGGAGAGCCTTGAGGTATCCTTTCCAGCACCCTCTGCTGACAAAAGCTAATATTAAGCCAGGGAGCAAAGGAGAATTGTGCTAGGTCCTGCTCCAGTATCACAAAGCATGACAGAGGATGAATTTGGATCTGAGAGGCCATCCAGACTCCTTTCGTCCCCACCTGGCTTTCTCCCTGTCCCCTCTCCCTGCTTGTCTTTTCCTTTCCTACCTGGTATTGAACTTGTTTAAATTTGAACCAAAATTAAGAATTTTTGTTTAAAGTGTATAGTGTCTTTGATTTCTTTCATTTATTTTTTGTTGTTGTTTGGTTGGGGGGGGGGCGGTATTGGGATCGAACTCAGGACCTTGCGCTTGCCAGGCAGGTGCTGTGCCGCTGAGATGAATCCCCGGCCTTCTTCTATATATTTTTTTCTGTAGAAAGAAGGCATCAAACTATTTTCACTTCTCTGTGCTTTTAAATTACTTTGTTTTCATATTTTTACTTAAGAGCCAATGACCCAGTCTGTTAGGCATTTTAGCACCTTCTGGGTGCAAATTATTGTTATCCTGGCCTCTGGGGATGCCATGTGGTTTTACACACACACAAATTCAAAATCTAATTAGCAACCTTAGATGTGGAAAGTAACTAATAACAGATCTTTGGATAACAAGTGCTAAATGATTATTCATACTGGTGTTAAAATACTTGATAAAAGAAATGTGTATAAGATGCCTTTAAAATAGGCTCCCACTTAAAGTCACTATTTTGAGAGGCTACTTTTATTTTTGAGAGAGACTACTTTTAAATGGATAATTCTGCATCCTAAAGGTTGTTTTCCCGAATAGGTATAGACAATTACTACTTATAACTACTATTTGCCTAGTAGAAAACAGTTTGTATACACTACTTCAATTATTCATCACAATATCCTATAAAATAGATAGCATAATCTTTTTCCAAAGGAGGAAGAATTAAGAACTTTGCATGGTGCTGAAAAACCAATAAATAACATGTTGTTTTCAAGCCCATGTGTTAGCCACTATACCACATTGCCTCCTTTTAGATAACAGATCCTTAAATGAAGATTTTGGAGCAAGTTTACCTTCAGAGATGTTAAGGAAACAGGTTAAAATTCCAGAAATGGACTTCCCAATTTTTTTAAGGGAAGAGAACAGGCAATCTCCTATTGCCCTTTTGCCTGTTGTAGTGCTACAACTAATTTCACCATATCTTCCTTCTCTTCCAGTTCCACTGTTGCTCAGCCATCTGAGATGCCCCCGTCTCCTCTGGTGTGGGAGTGACAGTGCGAGAGAGTGTACTACTGAAGATTGTGATGTAGCTTTCCACTGGAGTCTGGGATTTGCAATTCTGGAGGTTAATCATGCTTGTACTGTAATTTTACTAATGAAGTTTTAAATTAACAACCACTACTTGTATGATATGAATAATATTTAGAAATGTTACTAGACTTTTAATCTTGTAAAGTGGTTGTGCTTTTAGAAGAAAAAATATTTTACCCAGAGTTGCACATGTTTTATGAATTTAGTGCAGCTGTTATGGCTCACCTCAGAACAAAAGAGAATTGAACCAAATTTGGGAGTTTGGGGTTTTTGTTTTGTTTTTATTAAATGAAGTGAGATTGTTCACATACACTCCACACACACACACACACACACACACACACACACACACACACACACAAGACAGTCATACATTTTGATATTTGAGCCATTCCTAAAGATTTGGGGTTTTCTAAAACTAAAGAATCTAGAAACCTTGCCTGCGACCAATCATGGAGCCACATGAGCTGATCGTGGCTGCACTTGGGGGAGGGGGGTCGGGAGGAGGGGCATGCCACCTAAGGATCAAGCCCTATAATTAGCTTCTCATTAGAGCCGTGATGGTGATGTGTGCTGTCTAAAATCCAATGTTGTGGGTAGAGAGAATGAGTTTGTGACTAGGAGAGACTACGTTTTTGTTTTCCTTACCCAGTATAAATATATATATATATATTTAATCTATTTTTATTAGAAGTTTTTCTGCTCTTTCTTACATAAAAGAACCCCAAGCATGCATCTTCCATGTTTGTAAATAATTCATTTCTGGGCTAATTTCAAAAGAACCCTAACATTGCTGTATAGAGAGAGAACTAGCTTGCACATTTTAGGTCTGTGAAATTCTGTGAGACTTTTCCTGCACTGGACAGTGAAAAATAATAAATAAAAGACAAAAACAAATTTTTTAAAAAATTTAAAGCCACACAAAAAGGCACATAGGGGAATTATGTCAAATGTGTTTGTGTCCTTAGGCAAAGCTGTGGGAGTCTTGAAATGTCACAGTAGTAAATAACTTATTACTTTTGACAAATTCTTTTTTCTGTTGGAACACTGAATTCTTCTGTGCATATGTATATATGAATACAAACTGAAGGCCTCTACCTCCTGGAGTTATACAACTTGGCTTGTTTACCTCCACATGCTGATGATGACTTTTTTTTTTTTTTTTAAGTTCAATGTGGAGACTTGAAACTTGAATGTCCCTTCCAACTTTTATATTAAAAATAAAAAGACAAGAAAATTGAAGATCGTTTTTCACCTGTACAAGGCGTACTAATGGATTGTCTTAAAATTGGTCTAGGAAAAAACTTGGTGTGTGTTATGGACAATTAACTGTTAAAGTTATTGTAAGTTATCTGTATTTAGCAGAGTATTTTCATCTTGAGTGATCTGAGCTGAATTTGAAGACTATTAATAAGTTATGTTTGGAAGTTTTAACTTCAGTGAAGTAATTATTTGCTGTGAAAGAAACAAACATTGAATTACTAAACAAAGATGGTGCAATATCTTTGTTTTTTTTTATGAGGCTCCTGAGAATCAACCCAACTGAAGCATTTCAATTCACTTGAATGAGAAACGTGTTTAGTATCAAAAGAGCCCGAGAAGACACTGGTGTGAAAGGTACAATCTCAGAGGTTGGTCAATTACCGTGGCACACTTTCTGGTCACTTTGTACAATGTAGATTTGAAGTACAGTGGTGAAAACATTAAATGTGACATTTGAAAAAGATGTGTTTTCTATTTTATTTTCTTTGTTTTTTTCTTCAGTATGCTTGTGTCCAGACCAGAACAGCAAAGTTTCAAGAGATTTGCTCTTTATATTTTCACTTTTTTATCTTTGAGGAAATTAGTTGTTGTCTTTTAAAAATCTTCCCAGAAACTTAAGATTGCCAGAAAAAAACTGCAAACTTCACTGATACAAAAGATGTTGTGATTTAAATACATACAATATGGAAGTCTTTTGGGGGGGGGTACCAGGGATCGAACTCAGGTCCTTGCACTTGCAAAGCAGGCAGTGTAACCACTGAGCTAAATCCCCAGCCCTTTTTTGGGGGGAAGGGATCAAACTCAGGACCTAGTGCTTGCGAGGCAGGCGGCAGCACCGCTGAGCTAAATCTCCGGGCCAGAAGTCTTTCCAGACATTAGAGTCTGGATCCTATGGTTGTCAGGCCTTTTTTTTTTTTTACCCCTTTTGGAGCAAAGAACCCTGTGTTCCTGTGAAATCTTAACTCCAGTCTATTGGAATCCAATGCATTCAGTGAGATGGCTCTCCACACACCTGACCAAGGGACTTTATTCTGCCGCTTTTCCTGCCTCCTGCCCTTATCAACCCAGAGGTACTTCTAGCTCATCTCAGCTCCCTGGTGGTGTAATCCAGACCTGAAACCAGACTCCCTACCTCAGAATGCGCTCCCTGAGGCTGGACAAAGCAGTATTACTGTCTGTTTGCAGTACTGGGGATTGAACCTCATGAATACTAAGCAAGCCCTACTTGAGTGCTCTACCACTGAGCTACATCCCCAGACCTTTTTTTTTTTTCTCCCCACATTACTAGGATTAAACCCAAAGCCTTCACACTGAGCTATATCTCCAGCCCTTTTTTATTTTTTATTTTGAGACAGGGTCTCACTAAGTCACTAAGTTGGCCAATCTGGCTTGACTTTATATTTTATTTTGACAGGGTCTGAATAAGTTGCCCAGGCTGGCCTCATACTTATAATCCTCCTGCCTCGACTTTTTGAGTAGCTGGGATTATAGGCATGTGCCACCATGCCCAACTGCCATATTACTCTCGAGTTTGTAGGTGAGATTTACTTCTTCCTGTATTTTCTTAATTTAGCAAAATGGAATTTTTTTCCTGGACATAGGAGTTGGCTGTTCTATTCTAGCTCATATAAATTAATATAAATACATGTATTCATTTGTTTATTCAAAAAATTAGTTTATTCATGCAACAAACCCAAATACTTACTAAATGTAAGAATTATTTATAAGAAACCTTTGTTGTAGTAATGCTTAAAATAAGAAAACAAGTTTTACTAATATGTGCATTTTGAATGCACATGTAACTTTGAAGCTAAAGTTCTTCATAGATAACTACGTAGTGAACCAAGGGATTCGTGCCTTATCTAAATTTGTTGGGAATTGTAAAATGTGGAATGTCTAAAGCCAGTACAGTCAGAATGTACAGATAAGTTAGGGCTGTATTCAGTTGCAATTTGTTTGCAGTTTAAGACCCCAAAAGGGCCAGGGATTTAGCTCAGTGGTTTTGCCGCCTGCTGCGTAAGCTCAAGGACCGGAGTTCAATCCCCAGTCCAAAAAAAAAAAAATAAGAAGGAAAAACCCAGGTGCAGTGGCACATCCCTGTAATCCCAGCATCAATTTAGTGAGACCCTGTCTCAAAATTTAAAAATTTTAAAAAGAAGGGGTCAGGGATGTAGCTTGGTGGGAGAGTGCTTGCTTAGCAATCCCCAGTACCACAACAGAAAAGAAAAACTAAGAGCAAGTCTCCAGTACAAAAATAGTGAACAAAGAAATTGGTGAACATGCAGTGAGAACTAAGTAAACAGGCTGCATAAAACAGTAATAATATGTGTGATAGGGAGAATAAAGTAAATCAGAGCATCGTCCTTTAAACTGAGAGACACACCCCAGAGGATAAAGATTCTTGCGAAGTACAGCTGCACATAAGTTTTTTTCAAGAGTCAACTTGTTTTCCTCCAGCCCTATTCATCCCCTTACAAAAGATATGCTTCTTAGACATCTCAGGTAATATTATGGCATGGTGTTCCTGGGTGGCCAAATAATGGAACACTTTGAGCAGTTTTGTTTCTTGGGCCCTGGGCTGGAATGGAACACAGTGGTAGGGGCTTTCCTGCACACAGGAAGCCCTGAGTTTGACGCCCAGCACATACTAAAAAATGACACCTTATTTGCTTCATAGCATTACTCTCAAATAGTATATCAATCCTGAGAGAGAACTTGAAAGTAAAGCAAAAAGAACTTTAGGAAGAAACACTGATTTCTGAGACTGGCAGTATTTTATTTCACCCAGGCAACAAATTCATGGCACAGCTTTGTCTTAAAATTGCGAAGAAAGATTGATTTTTTTTTTTCAAAAGCACATATAGGGCCGGGGATTTAGCTCAGTGGTTCCGTCGCTTGCCTAGCAAGCACAAGGACCCGAGTTCGATCTCTGGTACCAAAAAAAAAAAACAAACAAACAAAGAAAAAAAAGTACATATAAAATGAAGACTTTTTCCAACAGGCGGTAACTATTTTGACTGCTTGCTTTGTCAATAAGGGCTTTCCATTTGGTTTATATGGTAGACATCTTCCATATTTAGAATTAGCCTGAATCTGTGGCTACAAAGTTCTGGCAAAAAAAATCTATTTAAAGGAAAAGATTTTTTAAAATATTGTACAAATGTTGGCAAGGACACGAAGAAATTGGAACCCTTCTGCATTGCTGGTGGGAATGTAAAATGGTACAGCTGCTACAGAAAACAGTTTGAGTTCCTCCAAAAAAAATTAAACTTTAGAATTACCATTTGATCTAGCAGTCTCATTTCTGAGTGTGTACATGAAAGAGTTGGAAACAGTGACTCAAATATATTTGTACACCAGTGCTCACAGCATTATTCACAACAGCCAAAAGGCAGAAACAACCCAAATGTCCTATTATTCCTATTCAGACTTGAAAAGGAAGGAAATTCTCATAGATGATATGGATGAATTTTGTAGACCTACTAAGTGAAATCAGACAGACATAAAAGAACAAGTATATTCTACATACATGAGGTACTTAGAACAGTCAAATTCATAGAGACAGAAAGCAGAATGATAGTTACCAGGGGCCAGGGCAGCTAAGGGGTTATTATTTAATGGGCTTAGGATTTCAGTTTCAGATGATGAGAAAGTTCTGAATTTGATGGTGGTGATGGTTGCAGACCAGTGTGAATGTAGTTAATGCCACAAAACTGTACATTTAAATTTTATGTATATTTTACCATTTGCGTGTGTATAGATACACATAGTGCTGTCCTAGAAACAGAAAGGTGTTTAACCATTAGGTAATCCATTTTCAGTCTTTCCAAGTAATAGACCCATTTTAAGGGACATATATAATCAGTTGACCATAAATATAGGAGTTTCTTTTATCTTTTATGTTGAGACAAGGTCTTGCTAATTGGCTAAGTTACCCAAGTTGGGCTTAAACTTAATGATCCTCCTGCTTCAGTCTCCCAGAGTGTTTGAATTATAGGCATGCACCAAGACAGCCAACCTTTGCAATTAAGTTCTGAAATCAGGAAGTGTAAATTCTCCAACTTTGTTTGTCCCTTGCAATTCCATATGACTTTTAGGATCAAGTCAGTTTCTACAAAAAGGCTAGGTGAAGTCTGATAAGGATTGCATTAAATCTGAAGATCAGTTTGTGGAATATTGCCATCTAAACAATATTAAGTTCTGATCCATGAATGAGGAGGGCTCAATTTCTTTAGGATTTTATTCAACAATCTTTTATAGTTTTCAGTATACAAATCTTGCAATTCCTTTGTTAAATTTATTCCTGTCCTTTTTGATGGAAGGGGGTGTGTGTGTGTGCATGTGTGCATTTTAGTTTTGAATTAAGTCACTGAGTCACACCCAAATTTGGCTCAAACTGTCATCCAGCTGATGGAAGGTTCTTAGTTTTACTTCTAGATTATTACTAATGTATTTTTAAAAATTGATTTTTTGTTTTTTGTTTTCCTTAAAAATTGATCTTTTATATATCAACATTTTATCCTACAACCTGGCTGAAATTCTTTTTTTTAATGTATTTAGAATTTTATAATAAAGTTTAAAGTCCTTTAAACACAATATAAAAACTTTATATAGTTTTCCTGTTTTTCCTAAGGAGAATAAAAAGAAATAATAAAAAGTTAAAACACTGATGACACCATTTAAAAGTGGAACTTTTTTTTCACTGCTGGGGATCAAACTCAGGGCCTCACACATAGGCAAGCACTCTACATGGAGCTACAGCCCCAGCCTGCTTGTTTGCTTGAGAGACTTGGCAGGCTTGGCTAGCTCTGTTCTGCCTTTGAAAAATAGAAATAATAGGATCAACTAACCACAATAGGACCACTAACCACTGCAGTTAGATTCACCAATTTTAAACAGTTTGCTCTTATTTTCTTTATTATACAAATATGCTTTCTCTTTTCTGCTTAAATATTATAAAAACCCTTAAGGTAGCCTGTAAAACAAGGATGCAAGCCAGGTGTAATAGCACTTACCTATAATCCCAGTATTCTGGTGGCTGAGGCAGGATTGTGAGTTTCAAGCCAGCATGGACTACAAAGCAAGACCTTGTCTCAAGAAAACAAAAAATAAAATGAAAGATAAGAGCACTGTACCACATAATTAAAATTCCAGTATCATGTCAAATATCTATGAAATTTTAGCTGGGCATGATGGCACACGCCTCTAATCCAAGCACTTGGGAAGCTGAGGCAGGAAAATCACTGCAAGCTCAAGGCCAACCTGGGCTACATAGTGAATTCAAAGACACCCTGAACTACATAGTGAGACCCTGTCTCAAAATTAAAAATACAGGGCTGGGGATTTAGCTCAGTGGTTCCACCGCCTGCCTTGTGAGCGCAAGGTCCTGAGTTCGATCCCTGATACAAAAAAAAAATTAAAAATATGAAATACAAATATCTATGAAATTTTAACAATTATATT